CCTTTATAATTAAGTTTCGAACACTCTTGGAAAAGACAGCACTCGTATAGGTGGGGCCATTTATCCCTTCCACGGCCCATCACTAAAACATGATGGGCCTTGCCCTCAGGCGGTCAACTGATTTTTAGGAGGTGACGGTTTTTAAGAAAGGGAGTTTTCCTTATCATGGGAGCAAACATGTTTTGAGAAGCGAGTAGGGGTTTTGTAGAGAGAGCAAACAAAACAAGAAGGTATTGGGGCTGGAAATTAATATTGGGGATAGAGAAAAGTCAGATGTAGAAAGAGTACAAAGAAGGGTCTAAATGGAAGCTGAGCATGGGGAGGAAGTCAGGAGGGTTAATGGCTAGTGGCAGACAATTGCATATAGCAAGGGCAGCTGAGGAGTAACCTCCCCCATTAAGCAGAAGAATTACGTAAATATTATGTTCTGTCTCCACGTAAAAATAAAATAAAATTTAGTCTCTCTGCTTTTCAGACTTATGTTAACTAGCAGCATTTGTTTAAATACATGTACATTCTGGACCAGTTTAATCTTTCTGGGAGTCATCAGCAGTCAACGTGTGCTAAACAAACACTGCTGGTATTCCATGTCATTATTAAGTGCCCTCTCCACACCATGGGCTGTCAGGAAAAAAAAACAATAATATCATTTCGAAACAGGCTGGTTGTGGATGTCAACAGAGGGCCTTGGTTACTGGTACAGAGACGTATGGAGGGGGTGTATGGTGAAATTATCTAGAAAATGTAGGTGGGGTCAAACCTGTGGAGGATCTTGCAAAGGGTGATATTGTGATCGATCACATTACTTATTGTTAAGTCAACGAAGGGAAGGGGCGTGATGACTGTGGTCTCCTTTATAAGTGTGGGTGAGAAATCTGGCAGCAGCATTCTTGATAATTTGTGGTCTTGGAAGCAAGAGAGGTAACAATGCCAAGGAAAATAAAGTTGACAAATATATGGACAGTGGTTTGAGAACAAAGATGGTCACTGCATCACACTGTTTTAGATCTGCTTCTATGGCTGTCTGGAACGCTATTCTTTCAGCTATTAGAAAGCCACTGGAGCTATGCACTTTTAAATTTAGATTTAAAATTAGTAACTGCATGCGGATGTCAAGGTGACAAAAAGAGGTTTTGAGAGATGGAGAGACCACAGAGAAGAGAGTTGGATCAAGAATTACTCCAAGTCTGAAAATACTCTTTGATGTCTTACTTTCAGAAACGTATGATTGCATCATGGGGCCTCCTTTGCCAGTACCAAAATATGAGAATAGGTTTCCCATTTTTTCTGGCAACAAAACAGGTACATCATTAGACCTCCTTTGCCAGTACCAAAATGTAATAAAAGGGGTTTTCCCCTTTTTTTCTGGCAACAAAACTGAAGCCTTTTTACAAGGATTCATGTCTGCATTAACCACAAAACCTGCAGTCAAAATGCAAACAAAAAACATACTATGATAATATATGCATTGGTGTGGACCAATGAGTTTCAAGGACAATGCATATATTATCGTAGTATGTTTTTTGTTTGCATTTTGACTGCAGGTATTATGGTTAATGCAGACATGAATCCTTGTAAAAAGGTTTCAGTTTTGTTGCCAGAAAAAAGGGGAAAAACCCTATTATAACAAAACAGGTGTTAAGATGTTAAAACACCAAACTGAACCTTTTTAGAAGGAATGATGTCTGCATTAACCACAATGCGTGTGGTCAGAATGCAAAAAAAAACCACACTGATAATATATGCATTGTCTTTGAAACGGATTGGTCCACATCAGAGACAGCTTTCTTTTGAGCCTCGTCTCAAACGGTGTTTTTTTGTTTTGCATTCTAACCACAAGTATTGTGGTTAATGCAGACATGATTCCTTGTGAAAGGTTTCAGTTTGGTGTTTTAACATCTTAACACCTGTTTAGTTGCCAGAAAAAAAGGGGAAAACCTATTCTCAGTACGATAGCACTTTCAACTTTACTGATTGCTTCACAATGAAGACCTGTCTTGGATATATTTAATCGTAGAAAGTTGGCTTAAATTCAACATGGGTTTGTACCAATGGCAGGTTGGCCGTGTTTGTTTTGTTGTAGTTCGGAGTTAGACTGATGGCCTTAATCTAAGTTGTCTTGTGGTTGTTGTTGTTTGACTTGCATCCCACTGGGATTTTTGCACAGAGCGTTGGTGTACGGTGCTTTTTCTGGAATATTTTGCTGTCTTTTCCTGGATTTTCTATTTGCACGGTCACATAGTCACTTTAAGATGTTTTCTTGTTCGTGTTTTTGTTTGTTGCTGTTGCACTTGATTTGAGAGCCGAATGGCTCACAGGGCTATACCAACATAAATGAAAACTGAAACTGAGTACAGGCGGTGGGGGTGAAGTTAATTGAGTTAATGGGGATGTACAGCTGAGTGTCATTGGCACAGGACTGGGGGGTAACAGACGAGAAGGCGATGAGTTTCACGAAATAGAATGATAGAGATTGACAGTAAAGAGCCATAGGAAGATCATTGTGGAACACCACAGCTAAAGGGTTTCCCTGAGAATAATAACTCATATGGAGACATGTAAGGAATGGGTGAGGAGCAGTAGAGAAATTAGTATGGCAGACACCTACACGCAGTGTGAAAGCCGTTGAAATAGGACAGTAGTTGCATTCCTGGTTCTTTCAGTAAAGTCACGTAAAAATAAAAAAGAGAAAAAAAGAAAATACCATTTACAATAAAAATAATAAAAGCGAAAAACCACGATAAAAATATAAATAATAAAATAGAAATAAAACCATTTATTTTATTTAAAAATGTTTTTTTTATTTTTAATATTTTTCTATTTATACAACTTTTTCTACTTTCATTTTTTTATTTTTTGTTTTCCATTTACGTGACTTTACCGAAAGAACCAAGAATATGAATTCCTGCAGTCGTGAAAGTCGTAAGTCAAAGTTTAGGACAGTAGTTGGCTGTGTAAAAAGTGGCAGCCAGTTGTAGAATAACAAAGGAGAGGAGAGGATAGGAGGGTGATAGCACCCAGAAGAAGGGCAGTCAGTGGAATGGTTAAATCGGTATTCAGGACTGTACTTGGTCATGCAGGAAACTGAAGCTGATGACGTGACGTGGACATAAGCAATGAACTGTGTTGGAGACGGAAAGGTCAAGATGATAACATTGGGAGTGAGTTGGATATTGAATGATTGGTCAGTGGTTCCAAGAATTGACTGAGAATTAAATGAAGTGGAGTGAAGTGGGATAGATCATCAACGTGGAGAAATAAGTCCCTAATAATGATCAGTGGAGAACAGCAGAGGCCAAGAATGAATGGAGGTTTGGCAAGGTAGTCAAATAAAGGAAGGCCAATTAAAAAAAAACTGTTCAAGGAAACAGCCTTCAAATTTTTTTATTTTTATTCCTTGGGCCATGGCGTCATGAGACAAGGATCCCAGAAATCAAAACAGAGGAGCTTTTGTGTTTGTGTGGGATGGGAATGTGTGTCTAAGAGCAAGGGGTGAGGCCTGCGGAGTGAAACGTGATGAAGGACACCAGGGACCGGGCTATACTAAGCACCACTGGCAGTTCGAGAAGGCACTGAGGTTTGGGCAGTGAGGTCACAGGAATATATAGAGTTTAACAATGATTATATATGTAATGACCATGTGCTAATTGCACCTTCGATAAGCTACGTATGGTACGAAAAATCTTCAACGTACAGGTGCATACATATGTGAGTGCAATTACCAACTCTCACAAATGACAGAAATATACTAATCGAGTGGATATCAAAAAACAGGGCTAATATTGAGCATGGGGTGGTGTGAAAGAGATATGGGCATGAATGGGTCACTGATGGGCCATGCAAGCAAGTGCATGGGGCTATAGGTGTAGCTAGCATACATGGTAGATTAGGCAAAGTGAGCAGGAGATGAGGGAACGATGGGCAGTGTGTGCGGCTAGGATGGGAAGTGTGCGGGGGTAGGATCGGCAGTGTGTGGGCGTAGGATGGGCAGTGCGACCCATCGTTTATACAGTCACGTGCAAGATGTAGTTTGCCAATTCTTAGCAATAAGAAAGCGCTGCTACTGCTGACGTTTTTGTTTCAAAATTACAAGTTTTTGGCACCAAGCCAGTCGTGGAAATTACACAGTGTGATGAAAAAAATCAGTCTATCCATGCGACATGAACGTACTTGTTCTACCTATTCTGCTCAGTCATAGTTATCAATCTCATGACAGCCAAGTCTCGCTTCAGTCTCTCGTGAGAATGACGTGAGACCAAGTCCATACCCTCGGTACGTAGCCATGCAGATCAAGATTTCAACTCAAATATGTGCATGTATTTTTATTTAAGCAGACTTTAAAGATATGTGCTCCGAACAAAACAGCAGTGGTGAACACTCGTGAATTTAAAACGCTGACCTTCAATTCGGTTTCTGCAAAGCGACACTGTACCCTTCCTCCGCAACCACTATTTCGAGAGTTTCAATATCCTCTGCCTATGGGACCAATGCCACTAAAGATACATACTGCAAACATATGCAAAGCACATAGTGAGGCCTTTGCTTTTATCCATATTCAGCCAAAATAAATGCGATAAGTCATAATTTATATATTTTCGCACAAGTCTTTCCAAGAAAAATCACAAGTTTAAATGGACCACCATTGGTCATAACTCATTCAGCATTCCTCTGCCACAGATTGAACACAGATAAGGTCTAAACATCATCAAACATTGCTGGAGAAACACATGTTAATTCCCAGCCATATGCTACAAAGCTCCTAGCTAAAATCTCCCCATCATCTCCGAGTCTGCTCTCCACTCCCGTATCATTCTCCGGCTGCTTTTCCTGGCTACACCGCTAGCCGAACGTAACAAGGGCTATTTTGAAAATGCTGCCCGTGGGAGCAGTAAAGCAATCAGGAAGTTATGGGCTTGGCAAAATCCCTCGGTGTGCCACTGGCAAATGACCTGCGAAAGTCTGAAGCACTATCTCAAGAAGTGAAAATAGAAACCGCCCACCTCAGTCAGTTTGTATGGCAGGATGAGCTTCTCGCCCGCAGTCATCGTCTTCCTGGTAGTCAGTGCCTCGGTCAGCATCTCTTCCTTGACCTGCAACCAAAGGCAAACAAAGTTATATACAGTGCACAAGGGCCATGAATGCATTAAGTGACCATAATAATAATAATAAAGGATTACTGCAAGTGGAAAAAAAAACTGACATTTGTTGTTGCTCAACGATGATTTTCCATATGACATGGTGACACGTGCTCATGTCTGGCAATAGAATGCAAAGGCCAACGGTGATAATGGCACCAGATATTCCACACGAGGCAAATGGCGGCATGATGTGGCCCTCACGATATGTACGCTTCACGTGCGTCAAACATAAAATGCGTCAAACATAAAACGCATAAACAACAATCATGTGCGAAGTAGGGCTTATCGCCCGAAACGTCGCCTCTTATATAAGTTTTCCTTTTAAGGCAATGTTATTGACAAATGTGCTGAGTTTATTCATAAACAGGATGTTTGGATGTATAGTGCATTCAAAACCAGTTAACAGACACTGCTGTAAGACATCCTATACCAAACAGTAAGCATTTCCTCCCTTCCGCATGAATGTTGAACTTCTTTTGTAGCGTACGTAGCCAGACGTGCACATCGGAGGTGTGGGAGGGGGGGAACTAAACACAAAAAAACTGTTCTAAAAAATAGTTTCCAATCTAGATTTAAAAGTGCATAGCTCCAGTGGCTTCCTAACATCCAAAGGAAGAGTGTTCCAGATGGCCGCAGAAGAGCATCTGAAAGGGCGCGATGCAGTGACTCTCTTTGTTCGGTGGTTAGCCAAAAGGCGCTGCGAGGATAGCAGAAGTTTTCGTGATGCTGTCGCAGGAGAGAGGGGGTGTGAGCAAGCTGTCAATGGCCAGGTGACATCTCAAGTACCCCACAGTGAGTTGTTCAAGCTTGATGTACTTGGGAGTGTAAATAAACCAAAGCACATGAATTCCTCAATGTACAGGAACTCCCTGCTGGTGAGAAAACCTCAATATTTGTAAAGCTATTATGGGTAAAAAAAAGCATATCTGTACATCTTCAATCTCAACTTACACGTGGCAAGTAGTTTGAAGTTGAATCAAGGAAGTGTGGTTCACATGGCCTCAGCAGATAAGTGGACTGTAAAAGCTGACTGAATATGAAAACGCCAAGTACGACCGAAGCTCAAATAATATGTTAAACAGTTACATTTTACAGTTAATTAAAATGCCTTTAAATCTTACACTCAGTAATAAGTGGTACAATTGTGTTGTGCTGCAGCTTCATCAAAAGGTTATAAGACCTGCATTTCCTGACGTTTTTGCCACAGCCCTATTATACCCACAATTTACACTAGTACATTGCTACTCAATAGAGTTTCTGCAAGTGGATTTTTGTTGTTGCAATTAACCTTGAAGTTTGTGCATATATTTTCCTTTGACCCAACCACAACCACAAACATGGATAGGGAATGGAATGAAGAACATATAATCTACTATAAGGACTGAAATGGCAACATTTTTTTAAGTACTAAGAAATAATAAATTAAACAGCATATTCCATATTTCAATCATATTTTGGTTCCACAATATTTTTGGAACATTATGTTGAAAATTAAGAATGTTCCAAAAACGTAAACAATCACAAAGCATGAAAACAATTTGGCATTTCCAAAAATGTGTTATACAATAACAGCATTCAAAAATTTTAGCTTCATATTTGGTGTTTTTGGCTTTGGTCACACATTGAAGTTATGTGGTAAGAAAGCAAAAGCTCCGTGATTAGCCAATAAAAATGTAGACAAAATCAAAGCCGACAAATTCAATTCATTACGGAGGCATTGGCGGATTGGAGCAACAGGGAAAACCTCACACAGACTCAGAAATAAACTCCTAAGGTCCTCCTGGTATTTTAGCCTGCAATTTATGAAGTTTCGGAATTAATCTGGAGCCCTATTACACCCAAATAGTGCCAAATCTGACTGCATGAGCAACAATCAAGCGTGAACTCAGGTTCCTAGGTATTCTTTGTGGGTAAGTTAATATAGTAATAAACTCTATTTTATAAAAACGCCTTTCATATGGAGGTATCTGAAAGTCTCCAAATCTCGTATTCCTACAGGTGTCCTCATCTGGCTCTATGAGACTCTGGAATCAAGACAGATTTATAGCAATTCTAAGAATACTTCATTTAGCTCTGAGAGAACCAACATTTTACATGTAAAACCCCTGAGTCTCACTCCATATAACTAAAAAAATAAACCAGAAGTGGAGGAATGGTAATAGTCCCTTAGTCTCGTTATCTGAGACTGAGGAAAGTAAGACATTACTGTTGTTATTGATCTGTTATTAAACATAAATGTTAGTTGAAACCCCATCTTTATACAGAAAAAAACCTGTATGAATTGTTGTTTCCTTTGCAAAGTATAGTTATGGAATGTTTGCAAATCAAAGTTATGGATTTCTCATATTTGTTCACCGTTTAAAAATTTTGCCATGGGTATTCATTATATTTTCAAAAACATTACCATTTTTTCCACAAATTATTGAAGCTCAACACAAAGCATTTTAATCACTTTCAAAAGCCCCTAAGAAGCAGAGGCACATATATCAAGTAACAACTCGGATGTGACATCGTCGGATAATATTCTCAATGTCCTTTGATTGTAGATCTAAGACAAGCACTAAGATCGGCGCTATCTTGAGCAGTGTGAACAAGCAGGTAGTTTACGATGGCTACCTGTGACAACGTCAAACATATTGCGGTTAGAGCTGGGCTTTGCTAAATATAACTGCTGAAACATTTTAAATTGAAGGATTGCTGTGTTGTTGATCCTTTATTGTCATGTAATGAGATTTAGACAGATGAACAATCTCTAAATTAAGAACCTAGTTGCTGATGGTGATTTAAAGCAGATCTTAGTGGTGCTAACTCAGGTCCCTGGCACAGCCAAACCATTATCCCCGCGGTTTTAATAATACTCAATAAGTCAGGCAAGGTGCTTCAATTACAGGGTAGCATATAAACACATGTCGCGCGTACCTACGTGCGTGGTATTTTGAAAGGGCCAAAGGTTTAAATTGGTCACTGTGATAACGACGGTAAGTACCTGAAGCAGGTTGGAGAGGATGGATAAAACATCTGGCGTGGCAACCTCCACAGCCTCATCCCTGTAGGGCTTCTTCTTGTAAGAGATGTTTCCCAGGTGCAGGATGGCAGATAGCAGCATGAAAATCCTACACAATGCACACAGCACAATAGGGGCACGCACGGTGTGTTCATGGTACTTACGCTCAAGTTTTTCCAAGGTGAAAAAGAAAAAATTAGAAAACAAATGTACGCAAATGGTTATGTAATACATAATACATTCACAGCACTTTGCTCTGATCAAGGCCTCCCCATGCCATGTCGGTCATGGACGTTGCTTGAGCATACTTCACCACGACGCTGCTCAGTGCAAGTTGGTGAAGGAAGAGTTCGCCCGCCACCGATGTTCGCCATGGCCAGGAAATGAAGTTGCCGTGTCAACAGTAAACTGCGCAAATCACCACTCCCTATAAATCGTATATATTGGTGTATGTCTACTTTTAAGTACAATATATTGCTTGGGAAAACATATTTCACACTTAAACCACTGTGTACCTCCTACGTACAGTGCGAAAGAAGCTCAACATACATACCTACATATTCATCAATTCACAGATTCCTATCTACGTATTCTTAATCTAATGATAAACAAATAAAAGTGGAATGCTGACATAGTGGTTTGCACACTGCGCTATAAACCCGGAAAACCTGAGTTAAATTCCCAGCCATGGCTAGCATGAGTGGTGAATCATATCTGAACCATACCTGATCTGCCTCCTTTCCCCAATCCACAGCAACCAGCATGGTGAAGTATGGTCAAACAAACCCCATACCTGACAATGCATGGGGGGAAGCCTTCATCTAGCAGTGAATTGGAAAAGGGCTCTAAATGTTATTTATATTGTTATGTATGCCTCGAAATATGAACTGCGAGCTCTGGATGAATTATTCCAACCCCTACTTATGGGCGTGGAAATATGTATGCATTCTAAGCACTGTGTTAATGTCTTAATGCTGGTGTCTTTTTTATATGTGAATGGTCAGCGAGACAAATTGTGTACTGTTTTAATGATCACTATTACCTTTTCCTCGTAGCAGGCAGGAACCCCACCATCTCCATGGCCAGCTGCAACCTCTTGAAATCATGCTTGAGGTCCTCCCCTTCCGTGAAGCAGCCATCAGGCTGTGATCCACACACAAACACACACCAGTCAGCAATAGTAGACACAGTCATCAAGCTATTAACAACTGCCGTTCACCACTAAGTGACGTCACCATGGCACTTGTGCCATGCCAGGTGCACTTTGAGACCACGTCAAGTGTAAAAGGCCCGCTGGCAGGAGGCCATGAGTTGATCGACTGAGATGGCTGGCAGATGCACCAACTGTGCTCTCACTGTGCCAACTTTCTACGTTTTAGCCGCCCGGCGCTCCACTCAATGTGGTGAGCGTCGCTTCTCTGCTCTCCGTTGCTGCTGGAGGACCACCGTCTCCAACTCATCAGCAGCATCTTTCACGAAGCTTCTCCACAGAGGCAGATCTTGACACTGCTGGTACCAGTTATCGGCAAGTCCAATCAGCTTCATATTCTTCTGTACCACATCAGTCCATCTCTTGTCTAGCCTGTGCCGTACCCATTTAGCCCCATGTATCGAGCTGATAAGAAGCTGTTTGGGTCGGCTATTGTCCACACACACACCAGTCAACAATAGCTGGTACTCAGCTTTATCAGTGGCTTGCATGTAGATTACACCAATGGCTTCTGTCAGGCATGGACATGACCCAGTGATATTGTTGCACATTTCAAGAGGGGATTCTTGTGCTATGTTATCATTATTTGGACCAATTCTAATACAGAAAATGTGCCTAGGTACTTGTTTAATTCAGGTGTAGAAAACTAAATATGCAATTAGTTACGTAGAATCTTGATTTGAAGCTTTTGTGACTGCAGGAATCCATACACTTTGGTTCTTTCGGCAAAGTCACGTAGGTAGAAAAACAATAGATCACTGCTGAAGTTTTTCTTGCTGTGGTCGTCCCACCTGATGACGATTGCTTGTGTTGCAATCGAAACGTCGTGATCTATTATTTTTCTACCTACGTGACTTTACCGAAAAAAAAACAAAGAGTATAGTTATGTAGAGGTAATAAATCTGGCTAGCAAATGATGACGATAAACTGTTTAAAGAATCACATCCTTCATAAACCTGTAGGACTGGTTTTGGCTTCACAGTCAATAACACGAGAAAGATCAGCAGTGAAACGTGGCTCCCCTGTAAACGATTCATTCACAATAACAATGCGCGCTGATCCAGAATTTATTCTATCACATAGTGCAGTTTTACATTAAACTCAGTTTACTGTTAATATAAATCAATGCACATACTTGTTGTCTATGAGTATCTATAATCAGTCAACTTTAAATAACATTTCACAGTTTTCTCAAGTTCGACATCCAACCATTAGTCAGCCAACCTCTGGCTTGTAGCATAGTCGGCACTCTCCTTGATTATTACGACGATATCCTTACTTGGACATCAGAAAAAAACACCTCAACAAACTACAGCAGCTCTAAAACCAGCTCTCACACGCAGTCCTGGGCATCAGGTGCAGCCATATGGCTTCTGTTAAAAACTTTGCACTCGCTCCCCACCAAATCGAGAACACTATACAAAGTCACCATCCTGTGCCACCAGGCTCTCTTTCAAGGTCTCCCCAGCATACCTCTCCACCCTTCTCACTCCACTGACCACTGCAATCCGCCGCATCCTACGGAGCATGTCTAAAAACTGCGAGACGCAGCCAGAACCATGACCGTCCCTGGCTGAGTGGCGCTTGGGCGCCACGGTGACAACATGTTCAACACCTCGCCTGGTGTACAGGAGGTTGTGGGTTCAATGCCGACCCTGACGCCTGTATATTTTGATCTTCTTTGGTTCCGGTAAAGTCACGTAGAATGAGAATAAAATAATAAATTGATAAAATAAAATAACACAATAATATTCTCACGACGTTTCGGCCACAACACAAGCGGCCTTCATCAGGTGAAGGGGGCGAGACTGTCCAGCGCTGTCCTACCAGACAGTCTCGCCCCCTTCACCTGATGAAGGCTGCTTGTGTTGTGGCCGAAACGTCGTGAGAATATTATTGTGTTATTTTATTTTATCAATTTATTATTTTATTCTCATTCTACGTGACTTTACCGAAAGAACCAAAGAAGATGAATCATTGCAGTCACGAAAGCTTTAAATCGAAATGTATATTTTGAGTTTGTATGTTCTCTCCCCGTGGTAACATGGATTTTTCTCCTGGTCCTCCGGTTTTTCCACGTGATAAGCCACTTAGTTGAGTTATCATTTGTGGTCAGGTCGATTCTGAAAAAGAGCTATATAGCTCAGTGGGCCTTACCCGGTAATATAGGTTTTTTTTCTTTGTAGCTACATCAGCAGCCATCTAAAACTGTCTCCCACTATACGTACACAGCATCCAAGCACCCTCCAGCTTCAAGCAGTGACTCAAGGCTCACCTCCTCAGGCCAACTTATGAGGAGCTTTTGAGCTTTGGTTCTGCACAAATTCGAGTTCTCGATCGAACAATGCATCGGATTTGTGAAATGTGCACACTCTACATTTTTTATAATTAACACCATTTGCAAAAATCTATTGCAGAACTTTCTGAACTAGATTAAAAGTACCACACTATGAAGGGTGTTAAATGATAAGATTAGTTTTACAAATAACACAAACAGGTAATCTGATCGTTTTGGTTTATAATTCTTCACTTGGACATTGCCTGGAAATATAAATCTTCGGCACCAGTTGCGTCACAACCAACAGAAACTCAGCCACTCAGCAACAGCACCACTGTAACCAGGGCCAACGGCTATAAGACAACGTAAAACACCAATAGTCCATAACTGTTCCAATTGAGCCCAAATTGGGAGAGGGTGAAATTAATTGTGGAGCGGTACATACCACTCCCATGCCACCAATATTGCCTGAGCCTCAATACGATATTACCATCTGTTTTCCTTGGCTTACGTTAAACCCAGATTATGATTTTTCTATATTTATACTGCTAAATCTTGGTATACCTTTAAATGACCTACATTTACTAAAAATAAGGATATGGAATATAGTTTAAGATAATACATGTCAAAAGCTGACCGCTTGCCAGCATGAACATCGTTATCTTTTATTTAATTTCCGGATAAGGTCTGTGATAAATCTAAAAACTTAAACATATTTCACAAGGAAATTATCACGATAAATCGTATAAAGTCAAATGTATTAGAATATCAGGGCTTAAATATATACAAACATTGAACTTCCCCCCCTCCCCTATGTATTAATTAAATGAACATTCTGAGAAAAGCTCTATCCCTATCTCCTATGTCGTTTACGTTCTTGCTGGTTATCATTTTAATGCGCACACTTGACATGTAATTGAACACAAGATGTGGAAACTAAAAGAGACAGGACTGTTCACTTTAATTTAAAAGGCTAGACTGTGTAAGTGCGTTTTCTGCATGCTCAGCAAAGCTAAGAGAACATTCTACCGTAAATTCCTAATTCTGGTTCAGCCTATATTAGGTTAAGTTGTACAGTTCCTGGGATTTTTCTACTGCTGCTGTTGCGTTTGTGAAAAAAAATATACGCACCATATAAGTATTGCGTCCTGTGCCAGAATCAGAAGCAAACGTGCCAAAAAAGTTTACACTACAACAGCCATCCGCGGGAGGCTCGCAGCCAACATAAACCTCAGCTGTCCTCTTCCAGCAACGCACCCAATTGCCATCAGTTTAATCCCACAAGAGAGATTTTTTTTTAATTGCAGTTTTTTTAAATATATATTAAGGTTTGTATAACACGCTAGAGCTGATAAGTGTTGGTTTATCACACCAGGTTTTGTAAACAGTTTCTGTTTACAAATTAAGTGCCTTGTTTTTGGCCTCATTACAATTGGAAATATTTTGTGCTCAATGAAAAGTACAACATCTTTACAACAACACCCACATTTTAGTCACACAAACGATCAAATCACATCTGCAATAATAATATGACCTTCATTTTTATCTTTCCCCCCCCCCAAAAAAGCTCAAAACATACTAACCGTGTCATCATTGTAATAACTCTCCCGTTGCTGAGGTTTCTTACCAACCTTAAATGAAGGCAAAAGCAGCATATTAGTAACCACATGCAAGCAGCAAAGAAGCATCGACAGTTATATTAGGAGCACTGCTGTGCCAAAAAAAAACATTAATCAAATAGACCAATACAGAATACCTTGAAGCTTTGGACTATGTGCTACATGGATGTGGAATTGTCCAAGTCTTGTTATATCAAGCAATTACTCCGCTGTGTTTCCTAAAAAAAAAATGTATCTTGCAAACTAGCTGGGTAACTTGCTACATGAGACGTTACATGAAACACGGATTGATTCCTTGAAATGAGCGGTTGTTTAAGTGCAAAGTTTCACTGCTTTGTAAAAACTCAAAAGGCTATACACTTGTTGCACCGTATCAAAAACAAATACACCTAGGTGTAAACGATGCTGTACAGTAATCTTGTGTGAATGCGAACACCGCTGTCATTTAAAATGAGGCTACAATACTAAGTGATGACAGCTAGAAAAGGGATGGTTATCTGACAAGACTTGGAACCAATGGACAAATAATGAATGGGATCAGGTTACACACAGGTTGCTCATGTTAGCAGCTTCTTTATAGTTTAACATTAAGGTTTTCGCGACCAATATCATCCACAATACAGAATTTTTGGGTTAGATTGCGAAATGCGATTGAACTGTGCAATCTACTTTTAAACATTCTGGACAAATAGATGAAATGCCGTTATTAATAGACTGAATCTTGTTATTTCCAAGTAAACGCAAATATTTCATTTTGCAATAACGGACATATTTGATAACATGTGATCTTACCTTATACACTAACCACTATTTTTTTCATATTATTCCATACAAAGTTACACTAAGGTAGTGCTGGAGCTACAAACAGATGCTGCAAGGATGGTGTACTGATTAAAAGTTGTTTATTATTTCCAAATATGCGTCCTCTAGTATGTTCAAAAATATCACAAATTCTTTTGGCAAAAAACCAAGCCAGCCAATAATGGCTGTTAAAGTTTATCATGCATAAGAAAATAAATCAATGAAAATATCCTTGAGAATGACATTGTCGCCAAAGTGAAATAGCAGCCTGGAATCATGGTAGAACTGTATTTGATACAAGTTAGTGGCTCACATTAAATGTGGCCAATAAAGCTACTCATGGTGGTACCACACCAACGCTATAAACATTGTAATTCATTAACATTCCAATGCATTTGTAGTTACATCCATTCTCTTGGAACGTGAAGGATGGACAACTTGCATATTTGAAACTGCTGTGCAAAAGTATACCTCAGCAGAGCAGTATAGTCAATACAAAGCGCTTTCGCAGTGAACGTATTTAAGAGCAAAGCACATGATGCAGCATTAGAGGTTTAACAAAACAATCTATAAGGTTTGCACAAATGCAAGGATGGATCTAGAAAATAACGTTACACTTGCTCATGGTCGGTTCTTAAGGCGGCGGCATATGTTATGACTGAGCACAATGTTCTCCAACAGTTAATATTGCATGGAACATATTCTTGGTTCTTTCGGTAAAGTCACGTTGAAGGGAAACAATAAAATAATAAAATATATAAAACAATAAAATTCCCACGAACATTTCGACTGCAACACAAGCAGTCATCATCAGGTGTGAAAACCAACGGCCTGATGATGACTGCTTGCGTTGCAGTCGAAACGTCGTGAGAATTCAATTGTTTTATATATTTTATTATTTTATTGTTTCCCTCCAACGTGACTTTACCGAAAGAACCAAGAATATATCTCACGAACATGTTTAAGACTTCAATACGGAATTATACTTCGATTTGTACTGAGTATTCTGCTATCTTCATAATCGTATGTATATTGAACATATTTTTCACTGTACATAGCTAATCATAGGTAAAACGATAGGACAATACCTAAACGCAAAAAGGAGTCCTAAAGAAATGAGTTTTCAATCTAGATTTAAAAGTGAATAAGCTTCAGTGGCGTCAAAATATAAATCGCCACCAGGCTCCATGTTAATGGGCACTCTACAGCAGAAGCGATTAAAGACACCCATAATGTCAGTCGAGTGTTGGGTATCTTTACAAGGCCATGCATGTTAAGTGTCAGGGTGTAAAATATCCACTCACAGTAAACAGCAGTTTGCTTTATTAAGTCTACATTGCTTCAGTGTAATAATTGTTTACTGTTCACAATAAACCAATGCGTGTGTTATTTTAGGCAAGTGAAGTCCGTGGCAGATGCACCCAATATAACTCAAAAGAAACCCAAAAAAATAAGTCTGGAATGGAGAATGAAACCTCAAAGCAAAGTTCTTTACATTAAAATAAAAAGGACGGCAGGTGAAAGTTAAATAAAATAACCATTACTATAATTTAATAATTCAATAGAAGCCATTTTGAAATTTGAATTATGAAATTGTAACATAATGTCCTACTTTTCAAATATTTACACAGGATTTGAATACTTACCTCACTGCACAAGGCACACTTTAATAATGTGCCGCATTATGACCGACCAGCTGTGTGAAATGAACCATCGTCCGTGCATTCACGGCTCTGTGCGTAGGCTGCGATTCACTACACTGTCCAATCATTCACAACTGTTATTCTGACGTTCATACTTTGACAAGGAACTGGCCCAACGAGACAGTGTGCAAATGGCAGCGCGGTGTGTGTGTGTCCTGTCACCACGAGAATCACCTGGTTCAGGTATTGGTACTCCTCTGGCTGCTTCAGTTGGAACTCTTCTCGCTCCTCCTGAGTTGCGCCAGCAAGCAGATAGTAGAAGACATGGTAGTTCCTGCCAATATCACCACCACCACCGGCATCATCAGCAGCCATTCAGAACACTTGCTATCACATTCTGCAAAACATTTTTTTCTAAAGACAATCTTTTCACAGATCAGTTGAGATTAATTCATCGCTCGTGGCCATTCAGGAAGAGGTGATAATTTAGAGGTTACCGGGCATTTTTTTTACATTTTGCCATGACACCAGCATAAAAAAAGGCAGAATTGTTTTTTACTCGACGTTTTGCATATAAAAAAAAAAAGGCATATTATTTATATAAATAATGCTCGGGGGCCGTCCATAAATGACGTCACGCGATTTTGGACGATTTTTGACCCCCCCCCCCCTCGTCACACGACGTCACAAAAAGCCAGACCCCCACCTCAAATATGACGTCACAAAGCTCTGCCCCCCCCCCCCCCCCCCCCCAAAATATAAAATATGCTTCAAATCGCTTTAAACTATTGCCATTGTAGTGTGTATTTAATGTGGCGCTGCACTCTGATGTTGTACGAGAAAACATTAAAAAGTATATTTAATAAAGTAGAACGTGTCGTCTATATGTATTTAAAGTTGCGCATTTCGATGTAACGTCACATTTCTCAACCCCCCCCCCCTCATCACACATCGTCACAAATGTCTGAACCCCCCCAGGTGCGTAACGTCATTTATGGACGGCCCCTCACGCAGTTCCTGCATCCCATCATGCAAATCCTCCAAGAGGACGAAAGATCACTAACCAGTTACCAATAGCCTAACCTGTTGTTGCATTAAGAAACAGGAAGCAAAAATAGATGCTACCACTAAAAACCACCAATGTTTAAATAGCACTGCCTGCCCATTTGTGTGGGAGACACGGCCAGGGGAGGAGGGTGGGAGGGGGGCGTGACGTCAGCGTCGCGCACGACGCAGCTCGACGCTATGGGGATGCGGGTGATGTCATCACGCAGATGTGCCCGGTGATGTCACCGCCGTGCCCTTTGGGGGACGACGTTACGCGCTATGACGTCATAGCGCCCTGGAGGGAGAAATCGTCACTCCGAAGCCACAGCGTTGTGGGCTTGAGGTACAATGACGTAATGACCTAAACATCGCCTCTCAATATAAACGAGAGGGGGGTAAACCATCTTACCAGAAGGGCCAAGCAATAAAACGCGAGACACAACTTCCGAAAGGGTGTTGGCTGCCGTCCGTCTTAATTGGGGCATTTATTTTTCGAATCTTTTGGGGGAGGCGACCAAAATGTTTGAGAAATTGGGAAAGGCCGCGATTTTCTGTGAATGCCCTCGACGAGATGGGCAGTTTTGGTGGCGTTGCATGTTTTCCTCCGACGTACCATTTGGGAGATACACGGAGCCTGACGGACATGGGATATAATTGGTGCAATATATACAGCAAGGGGAAAAAAGTATTTGATCCCCTGCTGATTTTGTACGTTTGCCCACTGACAAAGAAATGATCAGTCTATAATTTTAATGGTAGGTTTATTTGAACAGTGAGAGACAGAATAACGACAACAAAAATTCAGAAAAACGCATGTCAAAAATGTTATAAATTGATTTGCATTTTAATGAGGGAAATAAGTATTTGACCCCCTCTCAATCAGAAAGATTGCTGGCTCCCAAGTGCCTTTTATACAGGTAACGAGCTGAGATTAGGAGCACACTCTTAATCCCATAGAAAATCTGTGGAGGGAGCTGAAGGTTCGAGTTGCCAAACGTCAGCCTCGAAACCTTAATGACTTGGAGAAAATTTGCAAAGAGGAGTGGGACAAAATCCCTCCTGAGATGTGTGCAAACCTGGTGGCCAACTACAAGAAACGTCTGACCTCTGTGATTGCCAACAAGGGTTGTGCCACCAAGTACTAAGTCATGTTTTGCAGAGGGGTCAAATACTTATTTCCCTCATTAAAATGCAAATCAATTTATAACATTTTTGACATGCGTTTTTCTGGATTTTTTTTGTTGTTATTCTGTCTCTCACTGTTCAAATAAACCTACCATTAAAATTATAGACTGGTCATTTCTTCGTCAGTGGGCAAACGTACAAAATCAGCAGGGGATCAAATACTTTTTTCCCACACTGTACACGGACGCCCAGTACAAGCTGCATGATATGGTGTATTGCTCTTACCAAAAGAGATGTACCGGTAATTTACACATTGAATCAATTCATACTCTAAATGAATTGGGGGGGCGGTTTTTTCATAAAGAACACGTTAATCATTAATTTGTTGTAAAATACAGATGTGAATCTTGATGACCCATATCAAATTACACCTGTTAAACAAATTTGATTTTATTACAATGATTTTAAGCTACACTGTTAAAAATTGTAGAAAGCTTTTGTAATGTAATAAATAACATCAGTGTATTTTGCAATTTTTCTATGTTAAACAAAGACAGGATTTTTTTAAATCAAGTTGTGATAGGTTTCAACATGAATAATATACAGAATACACAAATATACATCCTGAAAGTAAATTAACTATTTAGACCAACCAATTTTTAAAAGGCAGACCTCGGATATAAAAAATAATAACCATCAAAGTGTGATAAATCTGAAAACGACTAAACTTAAGTGCTCTGCTGTAATACTACATCCATATGCTACCCAGTCACCTACAATAAATCAGTGTTATCAAATTTGGAAGGAAGTAGCAATAGTTGATTGTATTACAAATTTCCAAAGCATTTACAATCGGAATTAACAACTGATCCAATGTGTGTAATGCAACTTGACAGAGATGACAAGGATGACAGAAGTGGACGAAATGCCGCCAGGGAGGTTCACGCAGCAGACGCTTCGTTGAAAAATGTCCATTACAAAAACCTAAGCAGTTACTTGTTATTGTTATGAAAAAAAAAAACGCGTGGAACTTTATTCGATGTAAAAAATAAATGTAAACTGACAACACGCAGTAACGTCCTGAGGATATCAGCACATTGGCACAGAGCAAATTACTACAGGTGACACAATCACAGCCAACGACAATGTTTGTGAACAAACTCCAAGCCGGTGGGGCATCTTCATGCCCACCCCTAGCTGCCACTGCTATTCAATAGGGTAAAATCAAATCAAATGTTTCACTCCGGGTGACGCTGCAAAGTATTATCTGTATTTTGATTTAGCGTGCTGATCTTAAAGGTGCATTGAAAAATTTGATACTCCGACTGATGCTTCTGTTGTTGTGGAGTAACTCATGCAGCCAGCTATGGCTCTAGGATTTGGTGTTACACGTTGTTTATGTAGTTTATTGTTAAAATTCGGTCACAGTCCCTGTGAGCACTGTTACGTTGCAATCATGGCTTTATTTTTTGGTGATTTCGAAAAGTTTTTTGGTTTGGACATGTTTGTTTTGCTGTAGTACAGAGTTAGACTGATGGCCTTAATCTAAGTTTTCTTGTGGTTGTTGTTGTTGTTTGATTTGCATCCCACTGGGATTTTTTTTGCACACAACGTTGGTGTACGGTGCTTTTTTCAGGAATATTTTGCTGTTTTTTTCATTTATTTTCTGTTTGCACAGTCACATAGTCACTTTAAGATGTTTTCTTGTTGGTGTTTTTGTTTGTTGTGGTTGCACCCGATTCAAGAGCCGAATGGCTCACAGGGCTATACCAAAATAAAGAAACTGAAATAAAATAAAACTGAAAAATGCTGTAAACACATGAAGGACGTACCTCTCTTTTGTCTCTTGGGAAACAAGCCTCGATTTTTCCAGCAAGTACTTCTCAACAACAGCGCTGATTGACAAGGGTCGGGTAGGGTTGTGGAAGACAAGATAATGTTTTATATCGTCTTAATTTCATATGCTATCAGACACTTTAACTTACACATGTAACAAAAAAGGCAAAAACAAACCTATCACTAAAAAGCATGTATGAATGCGAGGCCTGCTGAATGTTATTTTTTCAGAAAACTTTATTTTAATTACATCAATGCCACAATTGCATTGTTACCCAAATAACCACAATGCATGCAATACATTGCTCAAATATATTGTTCGTTTCAATTACAGTGAAATTAGAAGCATGCTCAAATATTTTTTGTACCCTTTCACATGAGACCTCGGTAAAAACTTGCCAGACGGTGTCCAGGGAATTAAGTGATTTTTTTACTCACAGGACCTACAATTTATATGGTGATTTACGTGGCCAATTGACTGGGCCTAGTGCCTGCATTTTATTTGTTTTACCTATACATTCTAATTTCATACAATGCCACTGAAACCTTCTGAACAAGTACTGATAGCTAATATATCAATCGAGGTATTTTAGTATTGGCTATCAATTATAAATGTTTAAAAACATGTCATTTGCAAGCATTTTATAACTGTGCTTCACGAATCAGTGACCAAACAACAACTTAACATGTATTTAAGGTCATGCGCGAACACGTGTAATTAAGCTCATGCGTATATTTCATTTAATGATAAAAAGGGAAGCATTGAATTTAGCTGTAAGGATTAGTAAAATAATCTCGACATCTTCTAGCAAGGGATGCTTTGCACGATTCATTACTACATGACCTGTGCATTGATTCAAGAGGTACCGGCATAGGGTAGGGGTCTGAGAGGTGTACACTTACCCACGCACGATGCCGTTTTCCCAGTAATTCACTTGTATGAACTTGCCAAATCGGCTGGAGTTGTTATTGTGAGCCGTCTTGGCATTTCCAAAAGCCTGCGGCACACAAACCCAACGGGAGGAAGGAAGATTTATTGAACACTGCTACAAGTGTGCAGATCCGTCTAACAGAACAATGTCAATGGCAACTTTAAATTGCTAAGAAATACAACGTTTCCAAAGAAAGCAACTTGGTAGTTTGAGCAATAGTACTTGCCCTAGCTTCATATCATCGTACATTTTACATACGATAGTTAATGGCTCATTGATTATATTAATTCGATGCACTTTCAGTGTCATTTTCTTCAACAAAAGTCAGACATAAATTGAAAGAATTGGTGGCCTACTGCTGTAATTTAAAATATGACATGTAAAGAACCGAGTTAGGATTGTACTTCTAAAGCTGCAGAGCTCTGAGAACAAATGGAAACTACAATTTACATCAAATTTGAGTGTTGACAGTTAGAATTTAACGCAAAATAAACCTAATCTTTCCCATTCAGTAAATGCAAAATATCAGTTGTGGACGACAGTATTATGATTATTAGATGAAAAGGACGGCAATAGTCAGATTTTTGATAACCAACTTTTGCTATGTTCACTTCTGAAAGAAAAAATATATTAACTTAGTTATAATGACACGAATAGGTCTAATTTTCATCTTATTCCTTCCAAGTCTCTCTCCAGCGTATCAAACAGAACAGTCGACGATAGGTGTTCATCATTAGCAGTTCCTTCTGCGGTGTTTCTATCTCTAGGTCTGGTCAGGCCAAATGGTCTTTAAAAACAGTCGCATGCAAATTATTGACAGCAGACTAAATATGCCTTACTCAAATTATTCAGGTCTCAGGTATATCAATGAATTCATTCCTATATATTTATTATCCACTGACTATTTACATTATTAGAACACAAGAAGTTGAAGTAATAATAATTCTGATACTTTAAACAATAAAAAATATAGGTGGATCACCCACAAGGTGATAAGCCAGCTCGTTTCTTTTGTTAATTAAACTACAGGATACAATACAATTAAATGAATGTTTCTAGATAGTGTGCTTTGCATTCGTGGCAACTTTTCAATGAATAAAATCACGTCCTCTAAACATGGCAGCTGTACATTCCAAACATAACGAACAAAAACTGTCTTCAGTTGCAGCGACGTAAATAAACGTTTATTCTCAAGTCGAAGGCTAAAAAATGGCTTTGTGTATATGAAGCAACCCCCCCCCCCCTCCTCCGAATGCCTCTGCTTACTTTAGCTGCCGGTTGAATAGCGAACAAAACACTATTCATGTTCATCTCACTATCATGCCTAGCGGTGGGAGCAGCCTCGGGAGATGCCATTGAGGGCCACGGGACAATCGCAATTCTATCCAAGGCGAAGAACTTTTCAGAACTTGCCAAAATGAGAAAAAAAAGACTTGGCCGATCTTCAATCCCTTCTGCCTACGACGCACACAAACAACCGTCATTGACCCCCCCAACCCAAAGTATTCCAACCTTACAGCTGTGCTCTCCTAACTCACAGGCACAGCTCTTGACTATCGACAGTTTAAAAAAAAAAACACGCGATTTACAATGCTGATAAAAGTTAAACTGTGTTCAGTGGCTAGGTTGGTTTCGGGCCCTAGGAGCGCATGCAAGAAGAGCACTTTGCACCAGCATGAGTGGAGAGGGCCTTTTGCCTTCACACAGCCAGCCATCCCCGCCCGCCCACCCGCCCTCCCTTGAGAGCAGCAAGAAAACCCATTAATAAGATGCAGTCTGTGGTGGTTGCTGACAAAGATACCCGGCCATTGAAGGATACCAGGGCAAATTCCAGCGTCACCCCTCCTGGGACATATTTCATTCCTACGGTAAGCTGCGTTTACACTGAGGAGTGAAATGTGCTTAAATAATGAATGTTATATGAGATTTAACCGGTAAAATATCAGCATTTATTTGCACCCAAAATAAACAAATGATAAACATTTGATAAAACCATGTAATGTTGCTTTATATATATACATAATTTACATACACTATAAAATAGGAGCAAATACGACAATCATTCAATTAGTAGGCTATTCCCCCTCTTTTTTTTTTAAAGAGTTCAATTATCATTTCAGACTATCAACTCACGTCATAATCAAAAGCAGGTAAACTAGAATAAGAAACACTATTTTGGTCGGGGGGGGGGCGGGGGAAAGACCAAATGATCATATTATTTAAACTAGATCAGTGGAATTAACACCAGGCGATGCGGGACACACTGTCAACAGAGGCAACACAACCCGCGTCTCACAGGGGTTCCGCTGAAGCAGGCGGAGGAAGCACAGGGCTGGGCTGGAGGGGAGCAGGGGGATTATTATTTGTGTTCTCCCACAGGTGCTGAAGCCGTGCTGCGGACAAGGCCTACTCCTCCTGTACACCCCCCACCTGTGTGGGGGCATGGCCATGCGTACAACCACGCCAGCTTTCGGCTGCACTTCGGCCTCAACGTTGCAAAAATCTCTCACAGGCCAACGTCAGCAAAGGGGGGCAAATATTTCATCAGCATCGTGGGAACAACATGAACTCCCAAGAAATTATCTCGTATGCACGCTCTGACCTCAATATTATGGTGAGATAGAAACAGTCTCATGTACTGATTTGTAGCCGCTATGCTATAAAAAGCGCGTTAATTTATCCATTAGAGAGACATGGAACGGTTCTGGATGTTACCTGAACGATCATATCCACATACAAATGTTTACAAGAGAAAAAACATTCACAAAATAACAAAATAAATCTGTGTATGAACATTTGCATACTATGTTGTTGACTTGACAACCTTTTCACACTATTAGCGAGCGCCCACCATGGCCGGCATGACAAATGAAGGGGTGGGTGGCCAGCACCACCCGTCACCGTCATCATTATCCATCACCTTCTTCACATGTAACCATTGCCATCATCATCGTCTTCATCACCATCCAAAAGAAGGCAATTATGAATCGTAATTCTGCATCATCATTGTCATCATGTCTTTCTTGCCGACACCGGCCATTAATGTGCTATGACTGGCAAAAATTGGCAGCATTCATTTGTTTGTTGAGGAAGGTGGTATGCGGGGTTCAGGGATATGACAGGCCACCGGTACTCATAACCGGTGAAAACCCACTGAGGGAAGGACTCCCCCCCCCCCGGAGCCTGCTTCGGTGCCCCTCTGAAAGCCCTTGACCAGTTCAGAGCGATTTTTGTCGTTGTCGTGCCACACCCTGGCCTGCGACCCTGCTGCTACCCACTGGGCACATCACATTGAGGATGCGCTTGCTCGTCAGGTTAATGCTCAGTTTGGCATTGTGGGCAGCCACTCTCTTCCACCCACATTGTGGAACTCCCCTTGCATGTGGGCAGAGTTCTACCCGAGATGCCACCATCCCATGACGTGTTGGCTACCCCAAGAATGAGAAGCAGCTCATGCAGCAGGGCAGGACACTCACATCGCTGGCTGAGAATGAAACATTACAATAGTCTTCTGCCGATGGTGATCCAGCGTGCCAACATCGTGTGCAAAGCAGTGCATTTCACATGCTAAATCACAAATAAGCAAGATTCATAATTGGTTTATTTTGGTATAATGCTATTTTTAAAACAATAAAACCTCCACCACCCAACAGAGCCAATCAAATGAAGCTGTCACATGGGCAATTATGCAAATTGATTTGATTTCTTCGCAAAACCAAAATGTGAAAAGGCAACCAAAATTATGACAACATTTGACTGGAGATTATATCCAGCCTTATCAGGTTGTTAACATGAGGTCAGATCTCGTGTTAACATGCTTCCTAATTAGGGTCCTGAGTAGATGCCAAGACGTTATCGGCACATGTGGTCTAATTTATTAATCACAGTTGATTGGTTGTGATTGGAGGTGAGATTAGTGGCTTAAGGTGAATCTATTGATAGGTTTAAAAAAGTAGGCTGTACTTATGTTAAGGTATATTGTGTTTGTGATGAATTTGGAGTTTTAGTGATATTGCGATTCTAGTTCAGCAGTAATTTAGTTAATTAATGTGATTGGGATTAGCACTTTGAGGAATTGGTGATACAGGTTGTTCGAAGAAACTGTTTGTGTTACATTACAAATTAATTATCAAATGATTCCATCTAAATAGCTAGAGTTGTTAAATCATGATGGAGGTGAGTACAATGAGGATTGATTCATGAGGATTGACTAATAGGGTTTTAGTATGTTATCATGAATTTGGTTAGGTGTTATTTAATCGTCAATTAAATTTTTACAAAGATAATTGTTTATCATTCCTTTCCAGGCAGCATGAATGTTACAGCTATCTGCTTGGTTCAAGTTATTTTTATTTTTCCCAATTTCAATTGACTAATTCATCTTTGCCAGTAATAATTAGTTTTACACAGGATTTTAGCCTTATCAAATTCAATTGTGTGCCCTATGTGACATGCGCATTCTGCAACAGCAAATAATGTAGTGAGTATTTTCTATTTCTTTGATATTATTTAAGTCATGCACTAATTTTGCGATCTGTATGGCCAATGTAACATTTGCCGCAAGTACACATAATCTAATCTTAAGTTAACAGATGGTGTATTTTATATCGAGTTTAAAATCTCACCGTAATTTAGTGTTCCTAAGGACCGGGCTATTTTATCAGTAATTCCGGCAAGTTTTATTATTTAACTGTGTGAGTATTTGTATTGTTTATTATATTCATGTATTGTATTCCTATTCCTCCTTGCTCTGTTTAGTTTTTACTGTGTCCATTCCAATAAAACATGTTAAATATTACTTTACAGGTGCTCATCTGACACGGCTTAATCCGATGCATAAGCATTTTGAGGAGAGAAAAAAATTCGTTGTGGGTGGTAATGTGATTGTTCGTTAAAGTTAGCATCTGCATGCATTATCTTGCGTTACATGAGGTGTGTTAGTTTACCCTGTGAGCCATGTCCAAGCAGGACAACCAGGAATGGAAGGGTGTTTGCCCTCCTCCACTTCCATGGTGAACTGAATGGCTGGATGTTGGGAGCTGAAATGTTCGAGAATTTAAACAATG